TTGGTGCACCAGATCGTTCTTTATCTTCAACATCAAAATCATTATTTTTGAAGCGTCTAAACCAATCTCTGCATGTTGTTTCCGACAGAGCATGGTCGCCGTAAGTCTCAACAAGAATTCTGTGTGCTTCAGCTGCAGATTTTTTTTGAATAAAATAGTGCAATAAAATTCCCCGCAAATACTCTTTTTTTAGCACGAAACTAGACATGTTTAACACAATGAAAAAATAAGTTGTTTACACTTTGGTGAAATGACGTATACTGAATTTCAAGGTCGCTTATTGTACTTCCTTACAGATGTGTCACCATCTAAAAATAAACACACGTGGTTCTGGTAACGCCATCTGTTGGAAAACAGCGAGAACTTATTCAAGGTCCTTATACATCTGATATATACAGTAATATGATATAAAACTTCAGTTATTTTTCACGGAAATATAATATTCGACTGATCAATATGGCAAAAATAATCATATGGTTAAATGTGTCTAAATTCTTTGAACATCTATACAAGACAGATCACCAATACTGGACTAATATAGCTGACAATTGATATTTCTTTAAATGAGTTGTAGTTAACAAACTGTGCTCCCCATCATATTTTTTCTAGATTTTATAAATTAAAACTAAACTGTTTTGTCTAAATACTAAAACTTTTAAATTTTTCCAAAAATTAATCTAAATTTTATATTGATTATAATAAAATTTTGAATAACAAAGTAATAAAGAAAACTTCAAGTTTTTTTTTAATAATCAACACTTTAAAAATTTTTAATAATAAAATTTTGTTAAATTTATACCAAAATTATTAAATACTTACTTGTTATAACTTAAATTGAGAACAAGTAAGCCTCTAGAATGATCTAAATCATGTGGAACATCACGTAACTGGTTGTGGCTGAAATCCTATGTGTATATATTTATATGGGTATAATATTAATTTTTCAAAATTATACAAAACAACAAATATTTCTATAATTAGTATACTAAATATTATTAGTTGCTATAAGCTTATACTAATAAACACCATATTTAATTTCATGAAAAAATTCATTATTGCAAGTCTCACTAAATTAGACAAAATCCAATATTAAAATTTGGTATAGGTGTTATTGATGTTCAATGATCAAATCAATACATTAATCTTTCAAGAAAAAGCCTGGACATAGCTTCTTCAAACAATGCAACAATAATTCTTGCAGTATTTAAATAAAAAACAATCAAAGTACTTATACATTAATTTTATCAATATTAATATAATTTTTCAAAACAAAAAACTGAAACCAGAATATACCTATATAGAAAATCTTTGTAACATTCAGTATATAAAGCATATTACTCCAACCTAATTTCATACAGTCTTCATTGCATTAATTAGGACACTTTTTTACATAAAACTAACATACTAGAAACTTCAGAAATGGATAATAGAAAAATCTTGTCAATAGTCATGATTATTCTCAGCAAATTGGGAATTGTTTGATCAGCATATAGTCAGATTAAAATCATGTTTTTATTACTATTATATTTTCGATAAATAATTTTGACTACTATTAAAGATATTACACACTATTAAAGATATTTATTTTTTAAATTACAAATTTTAATGCTAAAAAATATATATATTTCTACAAAAATATTAATAAAGAAATATATCTATTGATTTAATAATTTTAAAAATAATCAAACACTTATATAATGTACAACAGATTTTTCAAATTTAATAATTTATCATAAATAAACTATATTCTGTAAGACTTCTAAATTAACTATGTAATACTTACAATAACTGCTAAATCTTCCAAATCAAATATGTCAGACGGAATTCCACAATTTTTAAGTTTATTATGCCGACAGTTGAAATATCGTAGACATGGCAAAGTTGAAACTTCTCCATGAATAGTTACTAAATTATTCCTCACTAAAGATAGTGTCTCCTGTAAATTAAATTTGCCTACTTTAATTTGCTATAAAAATAAAGAAATCATTATATTGATGATACATCATGTAATGATTTCTCATCAATAATAATTTAAATTCATTTTTATGATAAACCTGATTTAATGGATTACCAATTTTCTGAAATTAAATATTTTTGATTCTATAAGCAATGAATCTAAATTATTATAATTTAGTATTAACAGTGATTAAGATGAAAAAATTGAGTTTTTAAAATTTTAAACAATTTATTAATGCTGTGAAAGAGGAAAAAATAAAATATAAGCAAATTTCAGTAATAATTAAAATTTGCTATTCTCTGAAACTTAAAAATTAGACAGTACAAGGATAACAATACAAGCTAAATCTCCTAAATGTTAGACAAATACAAGATTTTTGTTGTTGATCAATGTATTAAAAACCTGAAACTATTGAATTCCATCTAATTATCTGTAAATCTTAATGTTCAAAATTTACTTTTAAAAAATGTATAAAATAATGAACAAAATTTCTAACTTTTAATTAAAAGTTCAACAGTTTTAAAGTTTTTCCTAAATATCTAGATCACTCAAATTTATTTATAGTAATGTAATTTCATGCAGATAATCCAATGTTTTTCAACCTTTCTTTATCTCATAGCACACCTGAACCTATAATTAAATTTCTGTGGAAAAAGTCACATGATTTAAAGTTGTTTGTAAACATTCTATCACTATATTACTTGCCACTTAACCTAATTCTTTTTGTCTATATTTTTTTGTAAATTAAATAAAACAGTATTGTTGTTCCTTAAAATAGCAACAGGTTACCCAATAGTTATTTAAACAATAGTTAATTTTCTTTACATAAGAAGAGCAAACAACATTAAGTCTTAATTTGCATTTAAAAGTAGCATGATAATTTCCTTTATAAGCCTGCTCAATGTCCTGCTATTTCCAAATTAAAACAATTTGAAATAAATATAGACAATTATAGATACATTTTTGATTTAAAGAAAATTTAATTTTAAATGAAATAACTCAGTGTTATGCACATGTAATTTTGCTTATGAACATATACTTTTGACTACATTATGTATACATTTATTTATTATAACAATGAAAAACTCGTATAATCAATTTAGAGGTTTTAATTTTGACATGTACACTTATTGTTCTTTGGGCTTCTTTCAAAAATAATTTATTTAATAACCTTCAAAAATTTTTGTGGCACACACATGAACAAGCAATAGCATGCTTGTTGAAAATCACTGAGATAATCTGTAGATTATTTTGTTCAGAAATCAATTTAAAAGTCATGTGCGGGTTATCTACTAAACTTAAAATTATGAATTCATCAAACAATTTTTCCTTTGCATAAACTTGCCAAGAGCATCTTCAAAACATGTGAAAAATCATTTGTGTTTCAGACATATTCATCTACCATTTCATTTAATTTTATTTTTTCCAGAAATTACAAATAGCACATATGCTTAGAAAATTGGATGGAAGAGAACTAAAGGCAAGACATATGTCTTTAGTTCTATTCCATCTAATTTTCTGAGCATCAATCTACACTTTGTAGTATTAAACATTCCTACTTGAATGTATATCTTGACTTAGTAATTTTCTGGTAATTTCCTCTTCTCTACATAATAATTCTTAGAAGAGTACTCAGAAATTTTTATCATATGCATATATTGTAATTCTTTACATTAAATAAGAGCTGAGCAATTGACTTTTAAACCCATGTTATTGGATATTATTAAAATTTTTTGTAGTTAAATGTAATATTTAATACAAATTTAACATAATATTTTAGTGTGGAATTGTAATCAATTTTTAACTTACTGAGATACTTAGCTTTGCTCAGAAAAATGATATATTAAGTAAAAGTAATAAATCTAAATATATAAAATTACTTGTCCTGACTGACTCACTGATTCATCATCGCCCAGAGCAAACCGCTGAACCTAAAAAGGAAAATTTGTTACACGGTTAGGGTACGTCATGAAAATGCACACTAAGAAGGGATTTTTCGAAATTCCCCTGCAGGGGAGAGGGAGTGCATTAAGGCTTAACCGAAAAAACGGCTTTTACTGTACTATTTTAGATGCGATTTTTTGTTTTTACATTTAATCTTCATTGAGTACTTAGGTGTATTAAATTGATAACATTTCAGATATTGTTATAAATATTTTCATATATTTTGATTTTTAACCAAATGTGTGAACCATTTTAAATTCAAATTTGTTATTGCATATTGGTTCAATTATAGAACGATTATAAATGTTCCGGAAAATTGATCAAATTGAAAACAGTTTGTTTGATTCTCAGCAATTCTCATTATTCTCAGCAGTAGGTGTTATATAACAATTACTATGGTTGTTGAAATACTGAATACAAATGGGGTTTGCTTGCAAAACCACTGCGAGCAAAGTNTATCACATCACATAAAAATATTTAACAATAAAATATTTGCAGTAAAACTTTATAATATCTAATAATTACATATAAACTAAGCTAAACATATAGTCACTATAATATAGCAAACAAGATATTACACAATTTGAACAAAAGATATAGTTGAACCTCCAATTTAATGATCAGAAGTAAATTCATTCAGAATTTTCTGGAAAAAAATTGATCCAGATTGGAACTCAAATCTGCAACTTTTGCTTACTGTGCAGATGCAATGACAATTACACTACCCAGATCACTGTCTAATCTTAATTTAGAAGATATAACTGAGATTTTGAACACCCCCTTTATTAATTGGAAATTGATGACAAATCCATAAATGTTAGATATAATATTTCTAATTTTAATAGAAAAATTTTAAGCTAAAAACTAAGGAAACTGGTAAAATTCACTTCCTTCTCAACGAAAGTTCTACATTCTTTTTGTTTTCCCTTAAATTTTGAGTCACATACAGTCCATATACCCCTCGTAAACCCCCACTCTTCCTAAACATGTGGGAAGAATACAATTTTCTTATTGGAGAAAAACATCAAAAAAAAGGGGATTCTTTAGTATTATTCTGGGAATACACCACAAAATTCCATAGGAGAAGGAGGTATTCCATACCCACTCCTCATGGCCAATGCCCATAACCAACTCCCAAAGTACATACAAGGTTTATTTCTAAGTTCCCAAGTTAAAGAAAATATTTATTGAAGTGCCGACCAAGAAGTAATAAGTGACCAGAACGGAAACAAGAGAAGAAATAGTGAAATAACGAACATTCACATCAATCTACATACAGAATAATATATAATGAGGTAGTATGTTTAACTTGAAATGTGATCTCTCTCTCCGCAATATCATAATCAGCTATTGAAGGTCCAATTTGTATATTTTTCCTTTTCTTCATTAAATATTCGATATTTTTATATTAAAGAAATGTCTCATTATGTCGGAATCAAAAGATCTCATCCTCTCCATATTGATTCGTAAATGCATGTTAATCCACGTGAAATAAATTTGATTAACTGGTGTCAAGGATCCTGACGTGATCTAGAACTTACCATCAAGATCTTTTTAACATTATAAATAAAAGACCTTCTTCAAAATTTAGAGATCGAATCTCATGATTCTGAGTTGATTAAGTGGTACTCCCGTTTAGTACTCCCAGCTAATCTCACATAACCATATAGAATAGTATATAATTACTATTGATTATAATACATGTATCCTGTTGACTTATAACTATTAGCAAGTGACTTGTATGGTTTTATCTTCCAAATTAGCCAGTCTGAAAGCAAAGATCCAATATAGGTTCAGATTTTGTTAACTTTATAATTCTGTAAATAAATTTTTTGTGTCATTTTGTTATTTTGTTGCAAATGGACCTCCCATTAGAAATTATACTTTATAATTATTATTCACATGGATTCTGTTTGCATTATACTGTGTATAAATTCACTATAAAATTTTATTTTGTATAATTACATATTAAGTTTGAAAAAGCAAACTGTCCAAAAGCTAAAGACTGCCTACATTTTATTTCATTTCTACATATAAATAATTATTTGGTAAAGATTTTGTACTTACCTAATCTATTATTGCTTAGATCTAAATAAAGTAAATCTGTTAAACTGACAAATAATTGGTTGGGAATAGATTCAATACTGAAAAATAAAAACAATTAGTAAATTAAGATTCATATAATTTAAGTTCTAAAAATATATTTAGTTAAATGTACAGTACATAAATCAAAGTAATCTTATAAAATGAAATCATTCCCATTATTTAGAAAAAAAATTTTGCAAGCATTGTTAGAAAAAAAATCACTTTTGATATAAAATTTAGTAAAAAAATTTGTTCAAATGATTGTCTTATTTGATGATTACTTTGGGTCTTTTCCATTTGATGATCCATTCCACACTGCTTCTTTTTATCACTATTTTCTTTGCATCATTTTTTTACCTATTTTTCTGCATTTTCATTATGTTTCTCATACTTTTATACTTAATTAACTAGACTATATCTGATTACCACTCTCATCTTCAAATGTTTTGTTTGTGATCACTAGAACTAGGACATCCAGACAAAGATCCTAACTTATATGAATTTTATGCCTAGATGTCCTAGCTTTCAAACTTATAACACACAATGTAGATTCAATGTCATAATTAACATTATTATTATTCAATAAGATATTTCTGACTTTCTACTCCGTGGTTCTTTAACAAGTTGGCCATCAATTCTTTGAGCAGAAATTAGTTGATTCTATAATTTAAGTATTGAAATTCAACAAATAGACATTTATTAACATATACAGTGGTACCTCAGTATACGTCTGCTTTAGAATACGTCCAATTCGGAATATATCCTGTTTGGACAAAACAAATTTTGCTCGGTATACGACTTTTGTTCGGTATACAACATAATTCAATTATACGCGCCATCAATGAACAAGTAGCACTATCGGTATACTAGACCAGACTAGACGTTCGCGGTGCAACGGTTTATAACTTTGTTAAATTTCTTCTGATTTTAATTCGTAAATAAAATTTTACTACTTCTATTAAGCATGAATTGCAAAAAGGCAAGTGAAAAGCAACAGAAAGCTAAAAAAATGACTAGAATTACAATGGAACTGATAAAAGAGATTGTTGAGAAATACAAAGATGGCACGCGTGTTCGAGATTTTAACTGTTGCCTACCGTATTCCGAGAATGACGATATGGACAATCGCGAGAAATAAAGACATTATTAAATCAGCTAACGTTGCGAAAGAGGTTAAATCAATTTTTAAACAGAGATCGAAGACATTAGATCATGTCGAGAAATTGCTTTTGCTTTGGATAACTTAAAACAGTGCTGGAGACAGCGTATCGGAAGCAATTATTTGCAAGAAAGCTAAAAAGATACACACTGATCTCACGAAAAATCAAGCAGGAACTAGCCAGGAAAGCGAAGTTTTTAAAGCCAGCCATATTTTTACATGAGAACGGATTAATCATTTTTACATTACTTCTTATGGGAAAGGTTGGTTTGGTATACATCCTATTCGGTATAAGTCCAAACATCAGGAACAAATTAAGGTCGTATACCAAGGTTCCACTGTAATTATATAACTAATATAATAAATAATACATTTTAAAACAAATTTCTTGCAATTTCAGATAGGCTACTAACAGCCATAACCGTATATTATGAAAAGGCATGCAAAACAGTTATTTCAGACATATTTGCATACCAATTGTTGTTTGAAAATGATGATTGTCAACAGTTTGTTTTTGACTGCAATATAAAGAACTGTTTCTTATACACAGTATCTAATCACTTTAACAATTGTTAGAAATAATTTTAGAGTATTTTATCCACAGCCACTATATCAAATTTTGGAAGTGTCACAGCACAATATTCTAAAATTCCAAGTAAAAATTATATCATTATTGTTAACTATTCAAACATTATTTTAAACTAGCTGCAAGGACCTGCTTCGCTGGGTTTTTATTTGTTCGTACATTTGTATGTAATATAGTTTTGTTTTTTATATATAAAAGACTGTTTTTCTAAGTAATCTAGAATCTAGCTGCAAGGACCCGCTTCACTGGGTTTTTATTTGTGGGCAAAAAGTAACGATAGTGAAGATTAAGATAATTACATTATAGCCAATCTTACCCGTTTTCACAGAATGCAAGAATTAGGTCCCCTGTTTCCAGACTAATTAGAGAATTTTTACGTCCAGTCAAACAAACTATTTTCAATTTGATCAATTTTCTGGAACGTTTACAATCGTTCTATAATCGAACCAATTCGAATT